TTGAGTGTGTAATATATATTTATACACACATGTATACATATATGCCTTGTGAAGGCAATATAGATATTGTCTTCAATATGCTATTTGTCTAATCAAGAATTTGTAAAACTATATATGGCCATAGAGAGAACAGTGGATTCATTATACAATTAAGATATTCTGTTTGTCGTTACTTATGCAGCAATGACAACTACTGCATCATTAAGCTTGCAACTTAGTTTCCACTATAAGCCCAATTTTGCCTTCCCAACAACAAAAAAGTCACATCAGCCTTAAAATGAGTAGGCTGAGTCTACACTCAGGTAGGGTTTTTTCGCAATTTTAAATAAATTGGATAAAGAGTTCCTAAATTAGGACACCCTCAAAGTAGTTATTCTCCACAGCTCAGAAAGTCGTGTGTGTGTGTGTGTGTGTGTAAGTAACACAGAGAAAACAGAGAGAAATAAACCTTAAGTTTACAGGACTAACACTGCTGAGACCTACGGCACAGTATAAAAATTTAGCTGATTACAAGTCTAGTTTTGGAAGTCATTAACTTCTGAACATGTAATACTGCTCTACTGAGCTGAATACAGAACATCAAAGAACTGCTGAAGATCCAAGGTTTCGTTTTAAAAAAAGTAAGTCTCTAGTCCTTTCCCTTCCAGAGAGATGTGTCCCTATGTAAATCTAAACCCAAAACCTCTCCGGGCAGCGACTGAGTGAGACTCCTAAGACATGCCAGGAGGCCAACGAGCCTCCGCCTTCAATTGCACATTGGGTTTCTCCCACCCCCTGCAGGTTTCAAGAGGTCCAACAGAAGATAGGAATACTCCCTTGATCGCCTCTCAACCAGTCTGCTCCTGCCTACAGACATCCTGGAAATTATACACACAAACTGCATTTTGGTTATTTATTTGCTAATCAAGTTTTTACAAGGTTTTAAAATGCATTAATTACTAAACTTTCCAAACAATTTTTTTTAAAAAAATCAAACGAGTTTCTAAAGATTTTCCAGATAAATCATATATTAAAAGAAATCAAACTGGGAATATATATTTCTTCCATTGTCCTAGGAAAATTTTTATCAGAGCCATTTTCCCATCACACATTTGAAATATATCTCCTGGAATTTTTGCATTGTTTTCCATATTAATCTGAAATTGCATACAAGAATCTCATTACTATTTATTGTGACTTTGCAATTATAGCAGTCACCTAACAGAGCCTGCTACTCTGTAGTTAAGGTTGAGACTTTCAGTGTAAAAACCCCTTTTCACATGTTCATAAGATTTTATTTTATTTTTATTTTTTTTAATTCTTCTTTTGGGGTGTGCTTGGTCTCAGCCCAAGGAGAAATTTTTCCTAGAAAGTTTAAACAAAATAAATACCGTTAGCCATTGTTTAACTATAGGAAGGTGGAAAAAAAACCAAACCATTTTCGCGTTGTAGGAATGTTTTAAGATGCTGGTTAGTTTACGCATAACTCAGAAATGGCTGAGCTTCAAAATCTGTCCAGTGTATGTTTTTGTTGGGGTTTCACACATGCACAGTAGTAATTTTTAGCTCTCATTTGAAGCAATTGTACTAACAGCACTAAAGAATCAAATCTGCACTCTTTTAGTCACATAAGTAGTTGAAGTAATCCCATGCGAGTGGTTAATGGGACTGTTCGCAGAGGAAGGAACTACTCAGGTAAAGATTTACTGGACCAGACCCTTTGTTAGTATCAGAGCTAAAAACCTATGTAGAAAGTTTCACAATAGGCAGATTTCAATGCAGAATATTCCTCTATGCTTTTGTAGAGCTTGTGATCTCTCCAGGAGGGAAGCCATTCTACTCTGGGTCTGATAACATGGATAGTGCATTGCAGTACTCAACTCTCAGGGGAGCAAAGACAGAAATGATTGTAGCAAGATCTGCATCTGAAAGACATGGGCATACCCCTAATCATCTAGTGCAGATTGAAAAAACTATGCTGGCTTCACCTGTCACAAGACCCTTGCACTGCAAACCTGCATAACAAATGGCAGCTTGCTCCCTCAATTAAGAGCATTAATATAACCCACACCAAATCTTATAGTTTCTTCCCCGTCATCTAACGTCACTTTAGTCTTGTCTGCTTGAAGCCACAGCCAGTTAGCTTTAATCCAGGCCCCAGTTACATACACATCATTCTATCACACTAGCCTGGTCAGATAAATGAAAGAAAGTTGGGTGTCATCAACATATTGAAGGAACTATAGCCCATGTCTCCTCACAGACACGTTTTACAGACTGGTATGTACCTTGAACAAGAGTAGTAGCAAAACACATCCTCTCAATACTCGGCACTTATGCCCTGAGGGGTCTCTTATGCAGTTACACAAAGCTACCCCACAGTATCACTCAAAGAAAGGAGCAGAGCCAATCACAGAAAGCAATGGAGCCAATCACGAGCAATTCTATATGCTACTTGTCAGGAGAATGGACATATTAGCACACTGACAGATATACTGGTGCCAATCAGCAGGGTACTGTTCTCATCTATTGCATGGGGAGTGCAATATCACCACTGTGGTTTCTGTAAAGTTCCCAGACCTAAAATTAGATTGGCTGGAGTCAAGGAAATCTGAGGCCTCAAAATATCAGCAAAGTTAGCCCATGAAATCCTGCATTTGGGCACTCAAACTGATATTTAGTAGGTGCATACAGCAGATGTCTCTGTCTTTGTGCCTGTCTGGGATTGGAGCCCACATATGAAATTGGGCATAGTCACTGTGTGTGTGTGCCACACATACCGCCCTCCCCCATCCACACACGTATTCAGGGCTACTATATTGAATTAAATTGACTGTTTGCTAAAAAGAATGGCAATACCATGTGGCAGACTTGTGAAGACAGGACCATCTTAGGGTTCAAACAGCAGCATCTCATCTTGTCAAATTTTCAAGTCTCTACCACAACCTCTTAAAGTTTTAAGGAGCTCTGTAAAAGTATTAATGTAGGTCAGGATCTATGACTGCCTGTCTCTGTCTCCTTCTGCATTATCATACTGTTCCTGAAGTTCAATTCCCTTCTACTACTGGTCACTTGTAGAAGCATCAGGCATTAACATTGTTTAAGTTTACTATCAAACTCTCAAAATTTAAAACAGAGTGTCATCCATCTTTTTCATACCGTAATCCAACATTCAGCCGCTCGTAACTGGTCCTCCTGAAGTGTGTCCCAAAATCCTTTGCACCATTTGCAATGACGTTCCAAGGGTATGTCTACACTACAGCTGGGAGATGTGATTCAGAGCTTGGGCAGACATATATATGCTAGCTCTTTTTGAGCTAGCTCTCTAAATATAGCAGGGCAGCCGTGGTGACACGGTCAGTAACTTGAGCTAGTCACCTGAGTAGAATCCCACCTGAACCCCTGTGTACACACTCAGGTGGCTATCCCGAGCTGTCACCAGGGCCACGTTGCTATTTAACATACTAGCTTGAGCAGAGCTAGTGTGCATATGCCTCCCAGTGCTGGAAATTACACCTCCCTGCTGTTGTGTAGACAAACCCCAAGAGAGGAGCCGTGATAACTGATGCAATGACTTCTAGGCTGATTTTGATTATCTAAGTCAAATTAATGTTGGGGGGGGGGAAAGAAAAGTAGTAGAAGGAGCGTGATGACCTGCTTGAGAGTTGGTGTGGATGGTTCTGAGTAAAACTTTGTTAATTCACCTATTTTTGGTACAAACTCCAACCAGATTCCACAAAACCTTCACCAATGTCTGTGAACTTGGACTGATTTCTGGGTTCAGGTTGAAACTTGGTAGTTTTGACTAAGAAACTAAGACAAATTCAGCAGTTTGAGAAGAAATTTTTGCTTTCGAGGTTTTGGGCTTGTTAAATCTTGAAAATGAGAATGGCAGCTGCAAACCCCCTTCTAGCGGCCCTGAAGGGGCTAAAGCAGCCCGGGAGAGGGCTGTGGCTGGAAAAAGCAGCCACAGTTGGGGGCCATGCCCCAATCAGGCCATAGCTGGCCCTATAAAAGGGCTGTGGGCCAGAAGCTCAGAAGAGAATCTCTCTCTAGCTTCTGAGAGAGAAGGACCTAGCTGCCAGGGAGCTGAGAAGGGTACCTGAGGTGGAGCAGTGCTGGGGAAGGGAAGTGCAGAAGGAGCTCCAGCCTGGTAAAACCCCAGGCTTTAGGCCTTGCTAAAAAGGGCCTGTGAAAGGTACTGGGGCTACAAAAGTGTAATCTGGGAATAGGCGGAGGCAGCTGGTCCAACCCACTTTGCCAATGATGAGTGGTTTACAGACTGCTGTCTGCCCCAGGGAGCGGGGGTTAGATGGAGACTGGCAGTAGGTGGGGATAGAGGGTGGGGGTTCCCCTGGGAGGGGAGACCCAGAACGTGGGGCACTGCCAGGGGACAGCACCCCAAGATAAAGGGGCACCGGGGTCTGGGAGGGACATGGGGGCCAGCGGCAGGTGAGACACCGGCCTGCAGACACCGGGCTGGAAGAGCTAATTCCCAGGATGACCAGCAGGAGGCACCGTGCTGGTGAGGAGTCGCCCCGCCATACCCCATGAAGCAAAACTAAAAGTATATGTACATGGAGCCCATGAGAATCAAATCCACTGAGTTGCACACAGCTATAGCTGTAACTCACAGACTAATATCCTCTGGAATAAAGTGAGCACCAGGATTACTCAGGTGGCAAACTTCTTGGGGCAGGGATTATCTCTTCATTATCCGTATGTAACGTGCCTAACATAATGGGGCACTGATCCTTGATGATGGCCTGGAGGCACAACCTCAATACAAACAAATAATAATGGTAGGATAAGCCTGCTAACAAGTGCCCTAAGATTCTGACCATCTGCTGCAAGCTGATTGCCCTCCACTCCATCATTGACTTCACTGGAAGCTGAAGACTCTCAGCACCTTGCAGTGTTGGGCCAAAGATGATTAACATTCCCTCTAGAAGGGAAGTGAATGAAAAATCTCCATCTACACCTTTGAAAAAAACAAACACAGAAGAAATGCTGGTTGTTACCTTGCAAGGCATAGGCTTTTTGAAGGTGATTTCAGCTTGAGTCCAGACTCCCTTTGGGGATTCCAAGACAGACCAGATTTTCTCTTGAACCACATGATTCTCCTCAAAGATATAAACAGTCAGGGTGTCGCTCATTTTGAAAAATCCATAAATGGCATAATAAAACCGCAGACAATACTGCAAGTTTCCTGGCAGCAAGGGGCCATACAGACGTCCAATGTACCCAGGCTGTGAGGTAAACTTTGTGTTCGCCAGCAAGTAATAACCTGTGAAACAGTGCAATTATTGAGTCTTTCTAATAAACAATCCACAAAGCCTATTCACAGGTAAAAGAAGCTTTAGTCATTTCAGCAGATTTTGGTGCTAATGAGAGTTTCCACTAGCAGGTTAATAAATTATATATTTGTAGTTTGTAGTGCTCAAATCAAAATCCTAAATAAACTCCCTGCCGTTACAAATTTAAGACTGCACATGGCCAGATTCCAGTCTTCACTAGAGATCAACACTTTGTAGAATTACCTTAAAAAACCCCTCAATTTTATAGCATCCTGCTGGCTCCATTGGCAGCCTGACTCAATTTCAGGGCTACCACTCCCTTATCGGAAGAGGTAATGCTAGGGCACTTGGCACTTTATTCACTGCCAGGTCCTCACTGGATAGTTCATACAGAAATTGCAAGCCTCTCTGGTAGCTATGATTGAATAGTGGTGAATGCTACACAAAAGGTTCTATATGAGCAGTGTCAGAAACCACAATGTAAAGGAGATTCCCAAAGCAATCAGATATCCTGAGCCCCTGCCTTGGAGAGGTAAGAGCACTACTGGCATGCAATTCTTGCTTTTTTAATCAGCAGGATGCTTGAATAGAGTTTATATTCATGTGTCTAACACCTCTCCTTATTAAAAAAGTTACGCAAAACTCCTGACTATTATAAATTCCTACAAGTAGTTCATTGCATGCTTTGAAAAACAGTATGGGACAGATCCTCATTGGGCATAAATTGGTGTTGACCTATTGACTTGAATGTAGCTGCATTGATTTATATCATCTGAGGATCTGGCCCTATATTTCCATAGAGAAAGGGCAAGGTTTTTCCTGGCACTTGTGAGGGTATAGTGATGGGAGTGCACAAGGATCCTCCCCTCCTGAAGTGCAAAGGCCAGGCACAATCATAGTCCCTTTTAGGACCTTCACAAGGACGGTGCAGTTTGCATGCTCCTTCTATATGACTGGGAGCTTGGGACGGTTCTCGGGGTGCCCACAACTGAGAGTCACCTTACAACCACCCTGCCTCCAGCAAGAGGGACACTTGTTTGTGCTTAACTAGGTGCCAACTCCCTGATACCTCAGTCTGTTAGCTATCTTCTAGGTTATGGCAACTCCTACTTTGCCTTGCAGGTTAACGATAGGTGTACCCCAGTCCCCAAGCCCCTTCAAAGTGTTCCCCTGTAGGGGTCACCACACTCCAAGAAACATCAGGTTTGCTCTCCCCAAGAGGACAGGGTACATACCAGCTTGTTTGAGTCAACTCAGGATCAGTTCTTGTATAATACCACAGCACTGAGATATATTTGTAGTGAAAACAATCATCAGTTTATTATCAACGATCAAGGTTTAAGAGACAGTGAGTGAGGATAATGGAAACAGAAGGGTTACATATAAAACAAATCATAACACGATCCCTATAGACTAAGCTTACTTTAAGAGACTACCTTCTGTCTAAATAAATTTATCTCACCCCAAATATCCTTTGCATCATTTTCCACCAAGTCTGGTTGAGATCCCATTTTTATGAATGTAATCACACTGCCTGATTACTTCCTAGATGCAGGATAAATGGGTGTCTTCCTTGCCTCCTGCATATATCCCCACCCCACGTCCATTTTCTTTGCACACAGCTAGGCTAACCCCCATAGCTTGTTTTTTTTCATTGTTGCTCCTTTTCTGTTGACTCTCTATGTAAATGGGGCTTCTATTGTCTTGGCTTACAATGCTTAATTTACATTTCGACAGATATGCATCTTACCTCCACTCTGGAAGAAAACCTGTTTTTCTCTTTGGTTGTGACAGATGTTAAAATATATTTTCAGTACATATACACAACTCTTTAACTATCATCTGTACAGACATCTTGCAACAATTCTGAGGATCAGTATGACATAACCATTTATTAAAGGATGCACATGACACTCTCTGGTGAAACAGAATGTACATGACAGACTCAGGAGACACCTGTACTCTCTATGCACCCCCTCTGTGCCCCTTTACCAGCTGGCACTAACAGGTTCTTGGGTTACAGAGTTCCCTCTGGGGCAGCATCTCTCTGCCCTACCCCCAATGCAGAGCAGTATGTCAATTGCATAGTCTGTTCTGGATTAAAGAGTAATTTAACCTTCACATCTAGTTGGACTTTTCCAGTTAAAAGAACTTTTGATTTACCTAATCCAGTAGTGTGATCACCTGTCCTATACGCATTAGGCTTTACTTTCACTCTGCTCCAGCCAGGGCCATCCTTGTGATCCTGATAAAAATTACACAGATCTTCCTCAAAATTGCAGCTTGCCTCAGCAGGATTGAAAGAAAATCCTGCAAAAAGATAAACATGCTCTGCTAGGAGGAGTACACGGTAATATGCATAAGTCTTTGAAGAACAATAATGCCAAAATGTATTCTGTTTTATCTCTGTTTGTTCATGACTAGTAATTGAGTGTATTGCAGAAGACAAGCAGACACACACACACACACACACACACACACAAAGGTTCTAGCCCATGTAGTTGTAAAGATAACCTTCTGGATGTGAACCACATGTAAATCAATGCAGTGCTATCTTCCTGAGTCTTCAGGTATATAGCTTCCATGCTTCTACTACTGCTCATGGTTTTCCCAAGCCACAGAAGACTGAAAACAGACTAGCCCCATCAGCAACCAACCCTATTGCAGCAGCTAGGAGGGCAAGGGAGGGTTAATGTTTTGGAGATGCTACTCCTTACAACAGCTGGAAGACCCTGAGTAGAAAGGAAAAACAGAAAGTAAGTGCTCCTCCTCCTTTCCAGCAGACAAATAGGACTATGGTGGCTTTAAATTTAACAGACACCTATGAGCCAGCTGTGAAAGATGGAGGTGTCAAACAAGGTACAAGAACAGCACTTTGAAAGAAACTGCACCCTGACTCTGGGTGCTGATTGAACTCAGCTTTTCATTAGGGCATTGGCCTGAAAAGCAAGGCCCCATCTTTTGAATCAGCCAGTGGCTAGTAAGTTTAGTCCTCTGACTAGTGGGTGGCTGGTAGATTTTTGAAGACCTGAGCTAATATTTGTGCACTTTTGAATCAGGACTCCTAGAAAAAAAATCATCAAACTTAATGTCATTATTGTACAACAAAAGATTTCAGATGGAGCCGACACATACAGTCTCCTGGACAGCTGGAGGCAAAGAATCACTAAAGCCAAGCAGAAAGAGAATGCAATTTCAGAAGTACTCAAAGCAACTAAAGATGGAAATATGGGAATTGCTGACAAGACTGAAGTGTTAAAACGTAACTGAACATATTTCAACAAAACACCAAGGAAATTACTGGCATGAATTTCTCACACAGAAAAACTTAATAGGCCAAAATCAGACCTGGTGTAAGTGGATGTAGCACTACTGACAACCTAGAGTTCCACGCACTTACAGTAGATAAGAGTTTGCGGATATTTAGAATAAACTGTTGTGTTCTAAAGAGGTAACAGACTGTATTTAGCCCATCAAATAAACAACATCTGAAAGTTAAAATAGAAAAGGACAATACGTTACAGCATAAGTAATAAATGGATCAAAGCACAACATTATTGCAAACATAAATCAAGAAATAAAAATACATAAATCCCAAGCATAGACGGTTACAAAAATGAGTAAAACCAGAACAGGAGGAGAGAAAATAGTGATACAAAAACTACATTCAATAAACCAAGACTGGTAGATTAGCAACACATCTGGGATCTCAGTCTCATGCCCTCCACAGAATGCATCTTTAAGCTGTGCAGATAAAGTCTGCAGAGACCATGTACAGAGGTAAAAAAGGAAGAAACTGTTTTCCACTAGATCAGTACAAAATGTTTTTTTTTCTTCCCATTTCATAAGATTTCAAAATTGTGACCAAAGGTTTGATAGGAAATCATTAATCATTTTGTTAGAATGTTACTTAGCAATGAAAAGCAACATTCAAACTAAATAGTATTTGGCTAGTCCAGGGACAGACACTGTAACTGCCAAGGGCTGAATCCTGGCCCTAACTGCCCCGCAACAACAATCATGTGGCTCCAGCTTAGTTCTGTTGTTGTGGAAACCTAATAAAATCCTGACAGAACTCCCCTCTCAGAGGCAGCTAGTCACTCCATCAACTGAGGGAAGTGAGTAGGCCACATGACCCCAAAAGGTATCTTCTGATTTACAACTCTGAAATGGCGTACCAGGCACGTGGAAGGATAGGACATGTCCCAGTGTTAATCACTGTGGGAAGGATACAGCTCTTGCCAGTCACCTGTGGCCTCCTCCCACCATGGCAACTTGTTTATTTAATTTTGGGCACTTGTCCCAATCCCACGCTCCCTCAGAGGCATGCTGTACCAGCTTCAGCCTCTGTGGTAATTTGTTTAACCTGAGGGAGATAGAATCGCAGCATTCCAACTAGCATTCCAGTTGCAGCATGGAGCATGCAACTTGTTTGGAAGGAAGGGTAGACCATTCTATTTTGGATCAATTGCCCAAATGAATGACATTCTGTAAATATGTTGTAAAAACGTTCATAGATTCCAAGGCCAGAAGTCTGACCTTCTGTCTAACACAGGCCATAGAAATTCCTCTAAATAATTCCTGTCTGAACTAGATCATATTTTTTAGAAAAACATCCAATCTTGATTTTAAAATAGTCAGTGATGGAGAATCCACCACAACCCTTAGTAAATGGTTCCAATGGTTAATTACCCTAACTGATAAAAAATTATTTCTGGTCTGAATTTGTCTAGCTTCAACTTTCAGTCATTATCTTGTTATATTTTTGTCTGCTAGATAGAAGAGCCCATTATCAAATATTTGCTCCCCTTGAAGGCACTTACAGACTGTGGTCAAGTTACCTGTTAACCTCTTTTTTAAGCTAAATAGACTCAACAAGTTCAGTCTATCACTAGAAGCATGTTTTCCAATCCTTTAATCATTCGTGTGGCTCTTCCCTGAATCCTCTCCAGATTTATCAACATCAGGTAAAATAATCTTCTTTATTCCTACTCAAAATTTAAAATGTTGTGCTTTAGTTTTGAAGCTCTGGTGATCTACAGATTCACAGATTTTAAAGTCAGAAGGGACTATTATGATAATCTAGTCTGACTTCCTGCATACCTCAGGTCATAAAACCCAACCTAGTAATTTCTTCATCAAGCCCATCACTTCTGTTTGCGTTATAACACACCTTTTAGAACAATATCCAGTCCTGAATTCAAGACTTCATATGATGGACAATCCACCATATCCCTAAGTACGTTGTTTCAATGGCTAATAATAAATAATAATAATATAATACCTAGTTCATATATAGTGCTTTTCATCATTGATCTCAAAGCACTCTACAAAGGGTAAATTACCTTCACTTCTGATCTGCATGTATCATTTATTCTACAATCCCATTTTATTTCTTAAAAGGAGGAGGAACCCAGTGGCATTGCTAAATTGAATAGGCTAGTATTCGAATGTCACTATAATATATTCCAAGCACTGAAATCTACAGACTGATAAAAGGAGTCAGAGGAAGGGAGAAAAACTATGGAAAGTAAATACCCAAAAGAATTCATACCTGTCTGATTGCTGCAATAATCTGGAGAGAAAGAAATGTCATCAAGAGCAATGTAGCCTCCCTTGGCACTATTGAAAGCAACTTCAAAAATAACCTGAAAAAATAAATGGCAATTTATTACTGATCTATTGTGTATGTCATTACAATGTGTTAACACAGCTTCACCGTCTGGAATTCTGATCAGATTACCTAGAAAAACTACAAAACTCTTTGAGAGGATAGTGCAGGTATTGGGATTAAAGCAGTTATATCACCGAACACTGCGAGTCAAATCCTGGTCCATGCACATGAACATTCCAAGGCCGGGGGTGGGGAGTCAGGAATGGAATCTTCTTCCCATTCGGTGAAGCATCAAGAGTCAGCAAAGAATAAACAACACCTTCTACTTGATATTTCTTTTGGATATCCTTGAGATTTATAATAATAATATAGAGCTCAATTTTAGCTTTGAGAGACAGAGTTCGGTTAAGGGGGGTTGTGGAGGAGTAAGATCTAAGCTGTGGATGCTGGAGGCATCCCATCTGAACAGGGGAAAGGAATAATACAGCCCAGAGAGTACACTCGGGTGCATTAGCTACCACAACTTTTAAAAGTGCATTTATTTTCAAATGAAATTGCAATGGGGTAGGCCATGATAGAGGGCAACAGTGCCTATTGGTCAGCCCTACCACTTTTCTTGGCCCTTTAAATGTTCAGAAGAGTTCAAAAGATACATGTAGAGACCTAAGAGTCCTTGGAATAAATGGTGCTTAGGGAAGAAATCAGAAGACTGTACCTTTAAAGGCCCAAATCCTGCAGAGAGGGGAGGGCAAGGAAGGGGTTAGGAGAAGGGGGGCAGTATAAAGGCTTCCTCTTCCAGCAGAGCAGGGAGATACTGACAGCAGAAGTCTAGCCTGACGAATCCTCCAGACTGGAAGGCTTACTAGGAAAGGTGTTCAGTGTTCAGCTGAGAGGAGCTGGCACAAGGCCTTGTACTTACTAATCTATGGCAAGAGGCGTGAGGGACACCCCCAGCTCCACGGAGAGGGCTGAGGGGAACTCCTGTTCATAGGAGAGAGCTACTGACTGCCTTGAAGAAAGGAGCAAAGAATTGCTAGCAGTACAGTTCGTCTGCTGCAGAGAGGAACTGAGACTGGCTTGTAGAAGATGCCTCCCAAGCTAGTCCCAGAAGAAGCTGTGAGGAATCACAGAGTCAATGCAGGTACAACAGAGCCTGCTGATCTTATGAGGACGCTGATGTGTGAAGTAAAGGGGAAATGGTGTGGGATTGAAGGAACAGTCCTTAACTGCCTAAATAAGGTCCCCAGGCTGGAATCCAGAGGAGAGGGCAAACAGTGTTCTCCTATCTCTTCCCTAGACCAAGAGGGGAAACTCAGGCAACAAAGATAAAAGAAGCCAAGAATATCAAGCACCAGATAGAGGCCAGGAGATGGACTTTGAGTTTCCTATTTTGGGGACTGTTCTATTAACCCCAGAAGGGGAATGAACTGAACAGAGACCTGGTAGGAGGACTAGGCCATACATAACAAACCAACAAAAGGGGGTGCTAGACTGAGACAATCCCTGCAATGCCACACCTGAACACTAGGAGGCTCTCTGGAGGTAAGAGACATGATGACAGGGATACACACAATGTTCTATATCAGTGGCTCTCAAACTTTTTTACTAGTGACCCCTTTCATAAAGCAAGCCTCTGAGTGCGACCCCCCTTATAAATTAAAAACACTTTTAAATATATTTAACACCATTATAAATGCTGGAGGCAAAGCGGGGCTTGGGGTGGAGGTTGACAACTCATGACTCCCCATATAATAACCTCGTGACCCCCTGAAGGGTCCCGACCCCCAGTTTGAGAACCCCAGTTCTATTTGATTTTATGACATAGTAGAGAAGAAGCAGTACGTGAGCAGCACTGACATATGGAACTGAAATGTAAACTGTGGAAGATATAGCTATACTGCACAGGCATTTGATTGTCTTACCTCCATTGGGTATGGTGCATCAAAATCAACCTCTGCTAAACTCCAGTCTGTATTCATTGTACTGTCTATTTTCCAGATCTCTTCATAAAAGCCATTTATATCTCTCATATAGAGAGTAAAAACAATGCCGCTCTCCTGCCGAAGTTGGTAATAAAAGGATAAGCAGCCAGACATGGGGGTTGTTGTCTTAGGTGAGACCAGCTGGGCCACTTCTTGGAAATGCTTGACATAAATAGAGTCCACATACATGTAGTGACCTAAAATATATATATAAAAAACCCTTGACTATATATAATGGTGCAAATGACAATTAAATAGATGTATCAATAGATGTGCAGAAATTTGATATGCTGTTCATCTACATCATACACATTGGATAACTACTGTGAGGGCCCCCATAGAAATGCTAATAGTAGTAATACTCTCTTCACTTGACAAATTACAAATGTTGCCTCCCTTTCTCTTCTCCCCTCTTCTTCTTCTGCACAGTCCTAGGAATAGCATATTGGTGGGTTGTGATTTTGTGAGACTGGGATTCCAGAGGTAAATAAGCCAATTGCAACCTTTACCTGTTGCCGTCTCGAGTCATTTAAATCTTCAATTTTACCTTAGATTGAAAAAAATCTGCTCTCCAAACCCACAAATGAAAAGATTCAGAGGACAGCTACTTACCATCTTCCAGTCAGATTAGAATTGAATAAGTAGGTTACTTCCTGCACACACATGATGAGATAGCTACATTGACTTCAGTGGATTTATGCTGATTTACACCAGCTGAGACTTTGACCCTTTATATGTATTTCTGTTTATCTGAACTGCGTGTGCGTATGCCTACGTGTATATTTACATTCTCTCTTTCTCTGATGTACACCCAGAGCTGGCACAGTTATAGGACATCAAATAATATATACTGATTAGAGATGAGGTTTATAATGGAAACATTTTGCTCAGCAGATTGAAGGGGGCTATTTCAGAGTTAAAATTTTAAGCTTTGTGTGTTGGTTTGTATAAACTTGTTGCTGGGGAGGTTCCTCATCTCTGTAGCCTAAATAATTAGCTGATATTTTATGAACTTGGAAGCTTTAGCTGTTGACCACTTCATCTTGGACTACGAGAAGGGCTAACTTGGCCGTCACTGCCTCTTTTACTAGTCTGGCAAGTTCCTGCCTCACCACCACCCTCCCAACCTAGGTTTCATTTCGACTGCAGTTGGCTGAGGGCATTTTTGGTGCTTCATTGTTTCCAGGCAGTGTTACCAGTTGTCAAGCTTAATTTTCACTGTGGCAAGCTCATGCACAAATGGTGAAAGATTCTCAACAATGAGTCACCAAGTGTAGGCTAGTGAAAGTGTAACATATTAAACTCAAGTTAAATTAGTTACCAATTGTTTAGCTGTCTGGGGGCCAAGCAGTGTTAGTCTGATACTCTGTACTCAACTCATACAATTGTGGGAGTGGGGGTGAAAGGCACAGCGGCATGAGTTAAGGAGGTGTCATCCATCACTTTTAATTTCCTGGTTTCTTGTTTTGTCATTCACTTCACATTGTTTAAGATCTGAATTATAAGTCTTGCCTATTGCTTCCCTTAGAATGCCCTCAACTTCTTTCCTGTAATATCAACAAGGAACTAAAAAGTCTGCCCTGTCTTTGCTATTATAGTGTAAAAGAGACACTTCGAGCAAAGTGGTGAAGAAAAGGCATCTACTGCATAAGTTTTATTTACGGGGAGAGATCTGAAGGATCCTCTAAGCCTTTAAAGTGCTTTGTGTTCTATGACCTACAAGAACAGATCCCTAGTTAAGTTAAAGAAATAAAAGCCTTCTAACCCCATCTAAGTCAATGACATATAACTGAGTTGTGTTTCATTCCCTATGCTTTCTGCTCACTGAATTCTTCCATTCAGTATCAATGGTAAGCAAATGCTTGGAATATGTATGGGTCAGCATTACAAGGATGAAAAGGTTTCTATAATTTGCAGCATGTTGTCATGTACCATAATTTTAAAATCCGGACAATGAGTTCTTTTAGTATTTGTAAATGTATAACAGCTTTGTCCTAGATATAATTGTGGGTGCTTTCTTTTTTCTTAAACTGACTACAGAGTACAACAATCATGTTATAAAGAGTTCAGAAAATTTTTGTTAACTTTTTCAACAAGGAACTAAAAAGTCTGCCCTGTCTTTGCTATTATAGTGTAAAAAATTTGCAGAAGAGTTTGCTAATTTTGTGTGCCTCAGTTTTTCAATGCTCAACTCAAGATACCTTGTGCCTGATTTTCAGAAGTGCTGAAGACCTGCAAATCTCATTGGGGTTACATCTTAAATTCATCCAGAGACTAAAGCTGTTGCAAAATGCAGCAGTCTCCTCTAGTCTAATGTTACAACCAATAAAAGTGGTGACAACAGATAGCTTGGTCTTGTTCCCCTTGTAAGGGGCATTTATTTAGAGCAGGAACCATTTACCAGGCTACTAGTTCTTGGAGCTATGTATAAGACATTCACTTGTTTTCTGAATTTTGGGCCAAATCCATATGGAAAATACATATTCATATGTTCAGCACAGCCCACTTAGAAATGGCCACTCAGCCTGGTATAATTCCTAATACCTGCTGAACAGAACTTTTGGTAATACATACAGTTTTAAGGAGAATTAGATCTTAGGAGTCTTTCTTACCATTGAGAGAGGAAAGTGAACTTTTTTCCCAATGCCAAGTTCCTTGTATGTTTAAAAAGGAAAACACATCTTTTATATGTCTGAGGCAACTGCTTCACAAACTATATGTCTAATATTTACAAAGCAGTGTCCAAGTAGAAGTTTTTTTCATATCAAAAGCAATTCAGACTTCTAACTTTTCATTAAAAAAAAGTTTGTAGCAATTTGCTGTTCTTTCAGTAAGCTATAAGGCCCTTACATCTGCTCAAGTCTGGACTGGGTGAAGAGTGGAATGTAAAATATGAACGGAACATGAGACTAGAGTAAAGGAGCACAATACAAAATGAGGAAAAGTTGCCATGAGAGTGATACTTAAGGCCTGATATTTCAAAGACTTATACACATGCTTAGTTCCACACACTGTGAGCAGACTGCTCTTAAACAGTGGCGGATTTAGAGTTAGTGGGGCCCTGTGCGCAGCTTCATTTTTGGGGTCCCCCCCTCAGGACCCAGCCATGAAAAAGAACATTCTCTCTTATCCCCCCCCCATTTTTCTTCATCCTCCTCCTATATTATAAGTAATGGGAAGTAAATGAAAATAAAGGTGAGGTACCTTGATTGGGGCAGGGGGTTGCAGTTCAGGGGGGGTGCTGTGGGTGAGTTCTTGGGGGAAGTTTGGGAGCGGGGTGCAGGCTCTGGGCTGAGGCAGGGGGTTGGGGTGTGGGAGGTGGTGAGAGGTGCGGGCTCTGGGAGGAAGTTTGAGTGAGGGGTACAGGCTCTGGGCTGGGTCAGGGGGTTGGGGTACGGGAGCAGGGCAGGGGGGCAGTGCTTACCTTGGGCAGCACAGCTCTCAAAGTGACCGGGACACACACCCCTCTAGCAGTGGCTCCTAGGTGGGGGGGGTGAGGGGGTCTCCACGCACCACTGCCCGCAGGCACTGCCCCTGCAGCTCCCATTGGCCACAGTTCCCGGCCAATGGGAGCTGTGGAGTCGGTGCTCAGGGCGGGGGCAGCACGATGAGACACACACACCACCGGGGGGCTGCAGGGACATGCCGGCCACTTCCGGGAGCAAAGCGGCGTGGAGGAAGGGAGGCAGAGCGAGCAGGGAGCCGCCTTAGCCCTGCTCCACTGCTGCGGAGCTGCCTCCCCCGCCCCAGCCAGGGGCACGCAGAGATGTGCCAACAGTCCTCCACTTCCGGGAGCGGCGTGGGGCCATCGGCCACGGCATGCAGGCAGCCAGGACTCGGGGGCAGGTTGTCAGATATTTGTCCTGCATTTTGGGGGGCCTGTCTTTGGGGGCCCCGTGCCACCGCACGGTTTGTTTCATGGTAAATCCGCTGCTGCTCTTAAAGCAGACTGCTCACAGTGCATAAAGTTAAGTATGTGCATAAAATCTTTGTAGGATCAGGGCCTAAATCATTGAACAAACAAAAGGGGTTTAGTCTCCTATTAATGCTGCTGATACAATTGATTACAGTAACACATCAGTGATAATAGGACTTACATATGAAAGTTACCTGACCACTGAAAGTAAAACAGACCCAAAAGAATGATGGGAATGAGACAAAATGATGAAGAAGACAAGAACTTAATGAGAAAGAAGAAACAGGATTAAAGCTTTTAGAATCATAGATGTTAGTGATGGGAAATACCTATTAAGTCATCTAGCCCATTCTCCATCTGCCAATGCAGGATTTCTCCAATACTTTGTCCATTCTTGTTTTAACTATCTCAAGCCATGTGACTCCCACATTCCAATGTGAGAAACTTAGAACAGGAAAGTGTTGGAATGAAAAATAAATGGACTTTTTTTCCAGTCACATACAATATTAAGAAGTAGATGAGGGGAAATATAAAGAGAGCAAGTTTGAGAAAGAGAGAAAGTTTGAGAAAGAAAGTGTAAATACCTCAGAGAGTAGGTGAAACACAATCTAGGAAAGAAATGGAGAATAGCTGGCCTTTACACCGCCTTTCTGTCCCCCTCAGCCTAGATCTGAAGGAAGTAGCCTCAGGAGGAGTGGCAAAAAGGGGAATTATGAGTAGCAAGGACTTGGCCTCCTAATTTTCTCTTAAAGCACAGCCCTTCCTTTGCAGCATATTATTTACCACAATATTATTTGCCAATCATTTATTTTATTTTTCATTGACCACAGGGTAAGCAAAAGTAAAGAAGACTTAGTTTATCTTTCGATCACGTAACCTGGTTGGGTCCTTTAGTTGCTACCGCAATATAAAAGTTAAAAGTTAGATGCTTTTGTGGGCACAGATTATTATTAGTTTAGATAATCTACTTATTGCTTACCCAATTCGCTGCTAAGTGTATGGTCTCTGGGAAAGATGGATTGTGAATTTCGAATATTGCCTCCCCCAACAAACCAGTTTACATTGGGGTTCCATCGGTTCATGAAGCCACAAAGATGATTTTCTTCAAAGTCACATTCTGCAATTGCAGATAACATCATGAAGATCACATATGTTCATTACAGAAGCAGCAAGAAAGGCTATTGCTAAGCATCCACTTTATTGTCTTAGTAGAGACCACATATTAGCCTTCTGCAATCTAAGAAAAAACAGCTACAGGGCTTACTAGCTAGCCATCAAAGGAAGCAATGTAAACTGCCACACTACCATAGCCACTGACCCTTGATGTGTGCTATGAACTATTGTGTCACATCCTGTTCAATCCCGCTTGTTCTTTTGACATTTGCTAAGGTATCTCACTAATTGCTGGAACTTAGCACCAATTAAAATATTGCAAATACCAAAACAGGGACTCAGTGTACTACTTTCTGACCCTTATCAGATCTGTCAGACCAGAGCTCCCACTGGTGAACCACAAGGGGTCCAAGAGAGACTGGAATGGGGCTCAATGAAATGGGGTGTATGTACAGGGAGCTACTGGGGCCTGCAGTCACATAGCCAGGTAGACAGGCTAGGGAGGGCAGCTGGATAGCTGAGATTTATGGCAGTGACTGTTATAACTGGAGCAGGGCTGACACTGTAAAACGGAAAGGCCCCCTGTCTACTGAATGTTCACTGCAGAGCCAAACAGATGTAATGATTATTTTTAAACTTCATGTTTAAAAAGTAGCCTGCCCAAAGAAGAGTAAAGTATGTGTGAATTATCAAGCATGTGAGGCTTGTGATAAGTAAGTTATTAGAAGCACAATAAAATGTTACACTAAAAGATAACATTTCAAAGTAAGCGTTATTTATACACACACAAATGGAAAAATGCTGATTCATCCACCACTACATTTACCTAAACATTTAAATATTTCCTGCTCATTGCAATTGTATTACTTTGGTAGGGATCTCTGGCAAATATCATGGGGAATTAAGGGATTTAAATTCCTACTGTAAGTACAATAATCAACACAACTGTAACTATGGAACTGCTTGGACACCTCCATAACGAAGCATGAATGGACAGTTAGTCATGGGATTGCAGCTGTTATGTCCAATGCTTGCAGCATTCTAGCTTTGTGTGTCCTACAGTAGATCCTGAATGTGCAATAAATAGCTCAGAAATATATAAATTTAAGTGAAGCTCTCTCTCTGTCATACATACCTATGGATGTACACACACACACACACACACACACACACACAGAGTTTAAATATAGTGTACATTTTACATGGACTATGATAGATTATTCTCTAATAAAAATATTTTTGTTTTCATCTATACTCATGGGGGGAGGGATGGTACTTACCAATACAATATCCAGTAGTTATTTTAATTTCAAAAACTGCTATACTGGCAGAATTATCTTGTCCCAGTACACCTTCCAGTACAATCTGGAAAATATAAATACAATAGTATAATTGGGTGCTAATATTTCTGTTACTATATCAGATATCTAAACTTTAAAATTCAGATATTAGAGTAGCTAAATAAATGTAGTGGTCTCGTCCTGTGTTTAATAACTAGAGGTGCCCTTGCTGGCAGCCCAACAGAGAGACCAAGGATGGAATGGGCATGGAGACTGTACTGCTCTCTTTCCTCTAAGTCAGCGCTAAAGCACATTGATGGGTAGTGAGAGGAAGCCTGCATTTTACCCACTATGTTATACCTGTTTTGCAGATAACAGACTTCAGACTCATCTGCTATTGATATGGCACCTTCAGATGCACATTAATTTACTATAAAGAGATAAAACACCCACAGATCCTCTCTCTCAAAACTTCACAATTATGGCTACTCTTAAGTAGGATGGGCTGAGTAGGCCCAGGCAGCAGACTCCTGCTTCCCCTGCTCTAATACTCCTGCATGGGAGGCAGCTATGGCTGCAACTGCTCCAGAAGCACATGTCCAAAAGAGACATGTCTGATCAGAATGGGAACAAGGCCAGGGCTCTGGCCCCTGGCCCCTAGCTAATGCTGGCAAGGCAAACACTTAGGAGTTCTGCATACTACTGCTGGTATATGGATGTATCCAGGGCCGGCTCTAGGATTTTTGCCGCCCAAAGCAAAAACAATTTTGGCCGCCCCCCCCTTCTTTAATTACCCCACCCCCGGCCCCGCCTCAACTCCGCCCCTTCCCCAAATCCCCAGCCCTGCCTCCTCCCCCCAGGCTCTCAAGCCTAGGAGGGAGGGGGAGAAGCCGCGCCACGCCGCAGCCGCTCGGGATCTCCCCCTCCCTCCCAGGTTTGGGAGCCTGGGAGGGAGGGCGAGTAGCCGCGCGCGAATCAGCTGTTTCGCGCGCCGTGGCAGCAGCAGCGGAGGTGAGCTAGGGCGGCCGGGGCACATTTTTAGGGGCGGCATTCTGGCACCGGCCATGCCGCCCCTAAAAATGTGCCGCCCCAAGCACCAGCTTGTTTTGTTGGTGCCTAGAGCCGGCCCTGGATGTATCAACGTGCCTCCCATTCCTCCTGGAGGCTATTGGGAAAAATTCAACTCTTAGGTATCTCCAGTGACTTGAACAGCATTACATCACAGATGAATTTAACCTACCATGTTTTACACAAGCATGGAACCTGCTCTTGCTCCCACTAAAATCAATAGAACATTTATCATTTACTTCCTGGGGACAGGCTCAGATACAGAACTACCACTGCTGCAGTACCACTGCTGGGGCAGAGCACCTCCCTCCCACCTCAGCTCAGGCTCTTATGCATGTGTGTATGCACAGTTTGGGGACATTAAGGGGGAATGACCATCCTTATCATTCCATCACCAGGTATTCTTTATTGTTCCCACGAGCCCTGTGACAAAGACAAGACCAAAAGCATGGGCCTAGTGTAGCTACTGCCACCATTCAAGACAATGACTTTTTTTCAGGGGTACTTGCTGAAGTTTTCTAAGCTTGTATGTCAACATAAATGGAACCTGGGGATGGTTCTCATGCAGTCATTCAGTGAGGTAGTGATGTCACAGGGACCTGGAGAAAAAAGCTTCTAGATGGTTCAGTGAGAGTTGGAGGCAGCTAGTGAGGTAGTGCGGGAGCTAGCAATGAGCTGGGAGCTTTGAGACCAGACTATAAAGTGAAGAAAGCTATTGCCAGATACTCTATGGAAAGGAGCTTGGGTATCGGTACAGCCCTGTAAGCCTCTAACCCTCTGCTCCTTTGAGGATAGGGGAGCAGAAGCAAGAACCAGTGAGCATGAGAGTAACAAAAGCTAAGCAGCTCTCTAAAGAAGAGTGGTGACTGGGAACTAATTACTGATCTGGGAACATAGCTGAGTAATCCAAGTGGGGTAAGAATTGATTAATTTGGGGAGGTTACTAATTGATTTCATTGATGGGGGACAGCATTAATTATGTGATTTTAGGGACTGAACATTTATGGAGGTCAGCATTAACTACTTGATTTTAGGGATAGAATTAATAGATTGCTATCCCGAATCAATCTCCAAATCAAGCAGTTTTAAAATGCCTAGATGCCCTGGAACCAGCAGCTAACAGGTTACAGGAAGGATTAATTCTTTCATCCCTGGCAGTTACATAAACTGAGTATCATGTACTCCATAGGAGTTTTTTGAAAGACCTTAAAAAGTGAGGTCCTATTTGCACCAAAGATCACCTTTTGTGAAGTAGAGACCTGTTTACATACGTGCAGTTCTATGCCTACTCTTTCTGTCCAAATACCATGCGTGCTCAGATCGGATATTTGCATATCACTCTGGCAGCCCCAGCTTGATCCCAGGCTTATTTGGAGAATTGTCCCTGACAACATTTCAGCAACTATGTATTAATCTGAAATCCTTTGTGCACCTAACTTCCACTAAATTCAATGGGAGTTTTGCAGACATTAGGCCTGCATGTTCAGGTCCTTGAACATGTAGCATAGGAAAGTAGGTGAAAACTAGTTTGGGTTCCAGTGAAAAAACTTTCATTTTCCACTGAGTTCTCTTTCTGCGTTCTCACTACTCAAAGATTCTCCTACTGAAACCAACAATGAAAGCCAAGAAGAACGTCAATGTTGTTTGCAGTGTTGTTGTAGCTGCGTTGGTCCCAGGACATTAGAAAGAAAAGGTAAGTGAGGTAATATCTTTTAGTGGACTGACTTCCGTTCATGAAAGAGACAAGTTTATGAGCTACACAGAACTCTTCTTCAGATCTATGACAGTTTGTTGAATAATACTGATTACTTTTTCCAGACCTGAAGAAGAGCTCTGTGCCGCAAAAAAGCTTGTCTCTTCCACCAGCAGAAGTTGGTCCGTTAAAAGATATTATCTCACCCACCTCATCTCTCTGTTTAACAAGAGTCAGTACATTCCAGCATGTGCACAGTAAATCCAGTACTATCTTCTACAATTGTGCTTACTTTGTACTTTTTTGTGCTGTTTCTTAAATCAAGACTGGCTATGAGCCAGCTATCTGAAGGCTCCTTGGCTGACCAAAGTAAATGATCAAAGCTCTCTCCTTGTAACCTCAGATACAGGTTTAGCCTGGTAGGATCAAATGAAGTCTCTGAAGCTGTTGCAATCTGATATATAAGCCTGATGCAGCTCCACTCTTCAGAATGTAGTTCAGGACTGGTAAGTACTGCTTTTTCACCCTGAGTTCCCCAGGAAGTATCCACAGAAATGTAATGGCCTAGGAACACAAACACACACAAAAATAGGACAATAAATGTCAGATACTTTATTTGTGCATCACTAGATAAAAGTATTCATTTTAGGGAGGAAACTTTGTATAGAGGTTAGACTAGGACATTGAGCCAGGACTCCTACATTTTATTTCCAGCTCCTCCACTGACTTACTGTGAAAGACATTTAATCGCTCTATGACCAATTTACTCATCTGTAGACAAGATATAATCTACCTTACAGGTACTAAGAATCTTAATTAAAGTTTGTAAAATGCTTTGAGATCCTCAGATAAAAGACGCTATAAGTGCAAAGAATTAAATTTTTAAACAAATTCCGGTTATTTTACTCAAGTATTGTCCTTTAAACCTATAGTTTTATGGAGTGATTATTTATATAGATAATAAATGGATATCCTACAGGAACATTCAATTATTTTCTGGACAGAAACATCTCTATCTTCATTTTATAATTCAACTTTTTTTAAAATAAAAATATATTTTAACTGACACTTAGTAAAATCTAAGCACGTCTCGTAGTTTTGCAGTAGAACTTGAAATAAGCTGTTGGCAGTTTTTTCTAAGGTTACTACTGAAAATATACACTAATATGTACAAATGCCCTGATTCATCAAAGCACTAAAGCACATGCTTAACTTTAAACACATGAGTAGTCCCCAAAGAGCCAATGGAACTAGACTTGTACTTAAAACTAACTACATGCTTAAGTGTTGTTGTTGTTTGTTTGGAATGGGACCTAAGACACTAACCTAACATCAGGAATAAAGATCCACAGGGCTACATGTGGAAGCTGAAAAGTGATAAAAAACAAACATAAGGGAAAAAGAAAAGGAGATAAATCTGATGCAAACTAGAAGCCCAATCCTGCAGACTTTATTTACATAAAAGTAAGACTAAGATTTGGAGACTACAAAGGAATAAAAAACCAAAGCAAAGAAAGCTAGTAGTCAGCAAAACAGAGAAACAAATTAAGAAAACTTCAAGGAAAAGCCAGTGTTAGAGAGTCTGTTTCTACAATATTATCTGGCCAAAACGAGTAGATAGCACAAGACCCCATGAAACTACCCTGTGGCCAGTCTGATGCCATCTTCTATATTTGCATATCACCTAGACCTCCTGTAAAATGATCTTAGGCAACCTACTGGGAGCACATAAGGGACAAATCTTATTCCCATCACCCACTCCAAATGGTTAGGCTGGGAGCCAGGGCTCTCTCTGGGGGCAGGGCTGGGAAAAGTTCTGTCCGAGTGAGTGGCTCTTCAGAGCTGCAGTAGTATCACATGCCCCTTCACTTCCTTCTGTCCGGTTTTTCGCTCAGTGGCTCCACATGGCTACAAATTCAGCAAGGTATCTAAGGGAGTGCTTAACTTCAAGCCCATGAGTAGCATTGAAGTTAAGCACATATCTAAGTACTTTGCTAAACTGGGACCAATTCCCAAGATCCCGACTGTGCAGTGACAGGGGGAAAAGTAATCCATCTCACATTCAGAAGGCTTTGGCCCTTTGTACAGCAAATAACCCAGAATCATAGAGCTCAATTCACTCTCCCGCCATCTTCTTTGTTCCATTCCTGTAGCCCAAAGGGGATGGAACGTGGTGGTCCTGTGACCCCAGCAGCAGTAGAGCTGGCATACACAGCTCCTAACTTACCTTCTCCTAAACCCCTGGCACAGGCTACGCATCAGGGGCAGAGGTTGGGGAGTAAATGTGGCTGAAGTATAGTGTGCTCCAGCTATCCTCTGCCAGCAAATAATCCACTGGTCACTGTTACCACTGATGCACATTACAGCATCCACCAGGCAGCTCCCTGACACCCTCTGCGGCTCTGAGTGGCAACTCTGGACAAGAGAAATTCTGGCCTATAATGTATATGCTTGCACTGTAAGCTGTTTGGGAGTTGCTTACAAATATTGGCTGTTTGCCTGCCTTCAAATAGCTCCTCGATCCTGCCATTTATTTTGGTCAAATATGTGACTGCTGCTCACACATCCAAAACACAACCTATTAAAAATCTTTGTTGTATTTTTAGGAATGGATTTTCACATCTTGCCGTGATCTCTCCTTGCAAGACAGATATCTACAGTACACGATTTTAGTCCCTAGGCCTTGGAATATGTGCATTATGGCATGTTAATCACGGGTGACTTGCTAATGCAGCAATATGTAAAAGAAAAACAAATCAAGGGCCAAATATTGAAAAATGGGCACCATTTGTGCTTGCCATATATAAATGTGTGCAGCTAAACAGGTAACTGCGTATATAAAAGATGCAGTTGCGTGTGCAAGTCAAGTAATGCACAGTATGTTTGTGCATGTTTGTTTTTATCTCTTCTTACCAAGATCAAGAACGGTATTATGAAATGTTTATCTAAATGATCTTTAAAAAGACAGGAATTCTATAACAATTAATATACCCTCTGAAAAATATTATCTTCTTATCTCCATCAGGTTTGTCCTTACTCTAATCCATTCTATGAGAGATATTCTAGCTCAAACACAAGCAAGTTATTAAATACACTCCTGCTTGTGAAATGTGAATAGTTTTAATCAGGGTTTTTCCTTTAGTATACAGTTTGCCCACTGTCATTCAAATTGCAGGAAGAAATTGGTATAGAAATATATTCATGGATTTTTACCTGGTTTGAATGACCAGCTTGCATGTACGTAAAAACCTGTTTTTACGTGCACAAAGAGAAAACTTTAGGTCTGATTCTGATCTCACACTAGATTTACATCATTGTAACTCTACATATTTCAGTGGAGTGACTCCTGATTTACAGTGGTAGTTGACATCAGTAGGCTCCACATTCAGAAAATGCATGTAATTTTTTAAAAATTCTAAACAGAATCATGCAGAAACATTGCTAGGAGTTTTGTTTTGTATTGAGTTAACCAGCAATATCCAGCTCAGGCAGGAATTTGATTTTCAAGATAGTCCTACTTTTGCCCAGTTTTAACACATGGATACAAAGAAACATATAATTCAGAGTCCAGACATTGCAATTGATGTTTAGATTTCAGTCCTATTTTAGTCTAGAATTTGTGAGAAACCCCAAAGGAAACACAACCTCCTTATGGCTGCAAACCATAATACTCACTATTTTGTGTTTTTCAAAAATAGATTAGTATAAAGACAGGGGAAAATTCATTCAAATAGAGACCTCAAATTACCAGTTACATGACTCAACTGCCTTTCTAACTTGAAAACTTAATTATAAGTAGACGAGGGTCTACTTTTCTCTCATAAATGGTAATTTGTTTTAAAATGTCCTCTAGTGACTCCAGTCTAGATGTTTATGCCACCATAAATTTGATTCTACTCCCTAAATACATGATACACTTGTTCTCATTTGCTCTAGACTCCATGTGAAAGTGAACAGCATATTTGATCGCAAAGCCTATCTCTTGAGTCAGGACTCTTTCAGATTAATTTGACCAGTTCATTGTTATACGCTAAAGCCCTTCTGCAGCAGAGGTGATGAGACTATGAGAAGCTCGGTTCTATAAGATGCTGAGCACTCTGACTTCAGTCTAGCAAAGCACTTCAGCACATACTTAATTTTATGCATTTTAAACATTGCAGGATCAAGCTCAGACAGAGACAAAATTCTAAACCTCTTACAAATCAATGGTGGCACTGACTAATATGCTGCCATTGCAGCACAAGGAAACTGTCCAGCAGAAAGGACTACAAGGACTTGGTCCAGAGCGATGGTGGGAGAGAAGTTAAGGGGTGTTTATGAGGGAAAATACTCCCCCAAGTAGAGAGGGGTGCATATGCAGAGTTGTCCTTGCTCCAGCCAGAAAAGAAGAAAAATGTTGCCTCCAGAAGTTCCCTTCTGTTTGGGGAAACCTTTGGAAGCGGCTGAACTTGGTAGATCTTTTGTTAAAGGCTTATTGCGGAGACAACTTTTAAGGCAGAAGCAGCAAAGAGTCCTGTGGCACCTTATAGACTAACAGACGTATTGGAGCATGAGCTTTCGTGGGTGAATACCCACTTTGTCGCATGCATGTGACGAAGTGGGTATTCACCCACGAAAGCTCATGCTCCAATACGTCTGTTAGTCTATAAGGTGCCACAGGACTCTTTGCTGCTTTTACAGATCCAGACTAATACGGGTACCCCTCTGATACTTTTAAGGCAGAGTTCTCATTGAACCTAATTTTATTTTCTAGCATATCATATATACAAATATTTCCTCAAAATCCCCTTCCCTTCAACAGTACAGAAAATTTCACTTACTAGTGATCACAGAGAGTTATCAGCATGGGCCAGACTGTAACAACCATATGCCCTAAGTATCTGCTTCATCCCAGGCACAGACCAGAGAACAATGACTCAGTCACAATTCCTCCCCTGCTCACCCCTTGCTCTGGGTGGGGACTATGGTACTTCAACTATTTTCTTGGAGCAGTTTACTCCCCACTGTGCCACACAGCCAGCTACTATGGCTGCCAAGTTGGTGGGAGGTAGTAGAGCCAGAGCTCCTCTAACTCTCCATCCGCTCCCCACTCACTTGTTTGCAGGGGGGAATATCAGGCAAATAATTCCCCTTTTTCACTTGTGGCATCCAAGCAAGGGCAGTGACAATCTAGACCTACGGCTGTAGGAATAAATCCTGCAAACCCAATTGATGTCAGTGGGACTGCTCACGTCAGTAAAGTTTGAAGGACGAGGCCTTTAAACTCCCATGAGTGAGTATGTCTCTGACCTTGCTTCTCTAATAATCAGTTCCTTAAAGACTGACATTCAGTTTAAATTGATTAGGCCATAACCTTGCCATTTTTTCCACACAAACACTGCACTTCTAGATCACAATGATTTTATCTTTACTTAGCAAATTTCAGTGTTTCAATGCTATTATAGTAAAATCTAAAGGGCATCAATATATCACTAAGCACTGGTTATAGCAACATTTTTTTGCAGCATTTGTTCCTCAAAACAGTAAGAAAATTACACTGATTGCACATTCTATGAGTAACATGA